TATGTGAATGCGGGTCTTCTCGATCTCTCGTGCCATGTGCTTTTTGATATGCCGGGAAGAGCGGTTGTGGCTTGGAATACCGTTATTGCAGGGTGTTCAAAGTGGGCTCGGCCTGAACTGTGTCTTGATTTGTTCAGGAAGATGTTGGGGAAGGATTATTGTGGCTCGGATAACTGGACTTTGAGTGCGGTTATGAATTCTTGTTCCGAAATGTGTGAGCCATGCTACGGTCATATGGTGCATGGTTTTGTAATCCAAACCGGCTGGGAAAATGCGGTTGAGGTCAGTAACTCGGTACTCAGCTTCTACATAAAATTTGGTGAGGAAGATGAAATATTGAAAGCGGTCGAGGCTGTTAGAACATTCAATGAGGTATCTTGTAACGTGATCATTGAGGCATATATGAAGATTGGTAATCTCAAAGAAGCTTGCCGTGTTTTTCAATCTTTGCCAAAGAGAAATCTCATATCTTCGACTTCAATGATAGCTGGATGTGTGAGGAACGGGCACGAGGAACAGGCTTTGAATCTTTTTATTGACCTAATGAGAAGTTTTATTCGGCCCGACGATGTCACGTTGGGAGTCGTCCTGCACGCGTGTTCTAATCTGGCGGCACTCAGCCGAGGTCAAGCTGTTCAAGGCCATGTGATTAAATCCGGTTTTCTTGCTTATTGTTATGTCGGCAATAGCCTCGTGAACATGTATGCCAAATGTGGGGACATTCTGGATGCTCGTCGAGCTTTTGAGGACATCCCACTAAAGGACCTGATTTCATGGAACACGATGTTGTTTGCATTCGGATTGCATGGGCAGTCGGTGCGGGCCCTGCGCGTTCTCAAGGAAATTTCAGCTTCTGGGCTGAGGCCCGACAAAGTGACGTTTATCGGGCTTTTGATGGCGTGTAGCCATTCAGGCCTAATTGATAAGGGCATATCCCTTTTCGAGTCAATGTCCTTGAAATACGGGCTCCAACCTGATACCGATCACATTGCGTGCGTGGTGGATATGCTCGTTCGTGGTGGGAAATTCGAAAAAGCCGAAGAATTTGTGAATAAGCACGTCGGTTTAGATCAGATTGCGAAAATGGGCTTATT